CACTTCGTTGAGTGATAATTTGTGGCCAGGTCGCTTCTGCAAATGAGCTGTATAGCTCAGTGGGTCTTACTTGGTAAAATAAAACTAGTTTTAGCGTTTAGTTTTGTTGTTGATATTTCTGCAAACTCCAAAGCTCAGCCGCATAAATCAGGCACACCCAGAGTTGTATCCACCTTGACTAAATGTGTTTCGAGATAGGAGGATAACAGGAATTCAAATGTTAACTTGGATCATGGAACTGTGCGTGAGCCACTGGGCCTGTTTCACTCCTTCCTACAATCTTCCCTCTTCTCCAAGGTACACAAACAAACTGGTAAAATAAATAATCACAACAACAACCACAATGAATGAACGTAGACCAGATGAAGAAAGCTGAAAGGAGGTCATTGTGTGTTCACTTTGAGGAATGCTTCGCACGACACGTGCAGTGGAATGGCGACAAGGTTGTCTCTCAGAATGTGCCACTTTGCATAACGCAAACTGCTCGCGTGGGGATTGTTACAATATAGGAAAATGTCCTCGGGGTGGGGAGGCTGGATGCTTTTACCAACAAAGTCGAGTTCTTATTTCTAAATTAGTTGTTTTGGACATCCCAATAACGGACCCTGTCACTTACAATGTGCCAATGCATCTGCACCAATCACGCCGGATCTATGTAAATCAGCCACCACTCTGAATCCCTCCACTCTCCCACCCACTGTGAAAACAGACGCTCCTCCCCCTCGCAGCTCAATCCTGCTCGCTCCTTCCTTCTCCCCCCCCCCCCCCCCCCCCTCTGGTCATCATCACCTCTCATCGCCAACCTCTTGTCCTTCTCCTCCTTCCCACCGGAACTCCTCCTTCTCCCCTTCCTGCACCGGCGGCTCCGTCTTGACCCACGTCCACTCTCTCCGTCTTGGGGACTTCCGTCCCGGCCCTTTCCCGCTCATCTTGCCCTGTCTGCCGTATTGCGCAACGGACTCTACACCCCCTTGCCAAGGTCTAGCCACGGGCAAAAACTTGAATATTTGTCTGGCTGCCTGGCAGGACGTGACATCCGGAGGAAGCTAGGGACGGGTGAAGGGTCGCCTCCGAAGGACGCGTGGGCCTGCTCAGATTGTACTGAACGTGTCTAAGGAAATACTCGCACTGTAACATCTCGATGGCACGGCACCCACTCAGTAGCATGGGGCCCACTCTTATTCCCATTCTCACTCAGCATGCATGCAAGGTGGGTCCGCGTTTATTAAAATCGTTGCGCCTTGCTATAAAACGGCACAAAAATGGACACAGAGAAGTGGATGCACCAGAAGTGTTTTGCGATTGTTCTGCACGGTACACTGTGCAGACACCCCTAAGTTAGAGCTCAGCGATTCGACGAAACTGTCAGAATAACGTTGGCGATTATCACTTTGACCATCTTGCACGTATTGCTCCTCGGGTCTTGCTCACTCAATTAGTCTAAATGTTTAATTTGCATAACATATGCATAGTATTTGTATGAAATGTAAATAATTAAGCGGCATTTTTCATGTTTGAACTTTAATCATTGTTTCCTTTAATAAAATAACATGAAATATTTCATAAGAAATAACAGGATCTGCAATAATATTGATTAACACAATTTTATTAACCTAGACCATATATCTCACTATACATTCGTAGATTCTAGTATCGTCATATTTCAACAACCCACATTGTAGTATATCACCTGCATTCTACGCCTGCTCTCTCCGGCAGACGGGACAGCATTATATTCGTGCTGTCCCTTAAGCTATCATCATCACATGGCTCACAAACTGAAACCCGTTGTATAATTTACACGTACTTGCAATATACTAGAAGAGAAAATTTCAGGCAACAAATGTATCAAATATATATGCGACGTTTGCGTTGAAACGGCATAACTAATCTTCAAGGTAGGATCCAGGAAGTCAGAATAACCGTGTCACCTGACCCAGCTTCTTAAGTAGCGGTGCGTTCCATGGTCAGAACACTCCATAGTGGTCCAGGGTGCTTTTATATTGTTTTTACTTTACCAGGTGAGGCCCACTGAGCTACACAGCGCTTTGTTTAGAAGCGACGTGGCCACAAATGATCGCTCAATGAAGTGGCTTATCACGTGGAAATTCATAGCAGCCAAATAAATACTCTAAACGCACAATGATTCAAAATGTGGAGGGAAAAACCGGAGGACCTAGAGAAAAATACACACAAACACCAAATATACAAGCGTTGAACCCACGACCCTCTGTATACCAGCCAATTGGAGGCGCCGGTAGCATCCTGCAAACTCTCGGTTGTCCGACGCACCGCGCGCCGCCCTCATTGGCCGAGCGGATACGTCGTGACGTCACAATGCCGTTGCTAGGCTCTCGGCGTCCGCAGGAACCGTTTGGTTCGAGCAAATGGTACCATCACAGGACCTAGATATTAAGCATTACAAGTTAATTTATTCACAATTAATGTGTTTGGGTTTTATTCTAATTTATCTGGGCCAATGATGAACATCGCACGCGTTAGCCTGTAGCAGGAGAGCATTAAAATGCTGGCTGATAAAATCAATATGTAAAGTAAACTGTTTGTAGATACCGATCTTTAACGTAAGAGATTTAAAATAAAAGACTGTCCTGAGACTCTGGCTGACTTAATTTCCATACCAACATTTGATTTAATGCATTAGTTAATTAACCATTTTTAGTAAATAATTGTGATGCCCGTGTTATAATGATGAAGCGCTGTACATATAGGCCCCAAGATGTTTATCCCACAGTCTTTCGGTCCCATATGTTTTTGGAGATAATGGAATCGTCTTCTTCAATTACATTTTAGGGAAAGTGTAGATGTTTACTTTGGAGGTTATAATACATTCCAAGCTTAACAATTAAAAGTACACTATTAAAAGCAGACGTTATATTATCTATAGAGAGCCCTCTTGACGTTTTTTTAGCTTCTTTCTAATTCACTAGGATCCATGAGGACAGTACTGTACTATACCTTTACTCGTGCTACCAAAAGTACCCGTTTGGCCAGAGCAGTCTCCAGTTTCAGAGAGGCTGTCCCGGTGTCACAAAGATTTAGTGAACATTTGGATTTTGTTCCAGTTGTAATATACAGTGTCTGAGTTCACGATCAAGCAAATGGCGGGGGTTGGGGGGGGGGGCTGTAAAGTGAGTCGGTGGGGCCTTGAGCAGCAGGGCAGGGCCATGAGCAGAGAGGGAGGCCACTCACTGTGTGGGCCGGGCTAGTTGGTGGGTGGGCGTGGTTATGCACAAGTGGGCGGGACTGCAGTAGGAGGAGGGGCTGCTAGCTCTCCCCACGTGTCCCCACGTATCCCAGGTGAGATGCAATAGTAATTATAGATTTGAAGCTTTTGTGACTGCAAGGATTCATACTCTTAGTTCTTTCGGTAAAGTCACGTAGGTAAAAAATGAAATAAAAAGAATAAAAAATCACGACGTTTCGGAGGCAACACAAGTCTCCGTCATCAGGTGTGACCGTCACAGCCAGATTTGCTGCATGCAGTGACGGTCCCACCTGATGACGGAGACTTGTGTTGCCTCCGAAACGTCGTGATTTATTATTTTTTTATTTTAATAATTTTTTATTTCATTTTTCACCTAAGTGACTTTACCGAAAGAACTAAGAGTATGCAATAGTAATGTTTAACACGTAGGTTTTCACGACCAATATTATCCATTGATCGTGTGAATATAAATGTGTCGTTATAACTCGCCACCACCCAACGACACCTGATGAATCGGCTGTATCGGGTGGTGGCGGGTTTAACGACACATTTCTATTACTACAATTTAACCCAAAAGCCTCTATTATGGATGCAATAATAATGTTAAACGTAGACATAGTGTGCAACTGAACTTTTTCTGTGTCTCCGTGGAGGGAATTGAATGAGAAGATATATGATAATAACGCCTCAGTGTCGGGCTGTTTAACATTTTACCCAATAGTTTCTATTCACCATTGGTACAGCAAAACAAGACGGCTGGCTGCTTGCAAGAACAATGCACATGGGTATGACAGAAGGGCTTCGTGGTCGTAAAAGCTAATGTACAGCATGTATCTTGAACAACGTATTCTGTGCTTCTGTGGATCACATGGACTGCTGCTGAAGGCAGTTAGGCAAATCAATTATTGCATAGCCACAGTTTTTGTTGTGCATGTGAAAAATAAGAGCAAGACCATTGCAATGCAAATGCTGGTGCTCATCGACAATGTTTAAATAATGTACTTCAATGCAACATTTTATGGACACTTAAGACCTAAATAACCTTACTTCTGAGAGCAACAGTGTGGTATATTCCTCAAGCTGATGGAAACGAAAAAGGAATAGGTTTTATCCTTAAAATATTCAAATACCAAATAGACACCTATCACAAGGCACCATTTCTACATTCACCACACGCGCTTGTGGTAAAACATGGAAACAACATGATTTGATCCTGATTGGCCTACATCAGAGACCTTGTCTCATCAGTGTTAGACCAGAGAACGCCAAAAGGCAAATAGCACAAAGACAATGCGAACATCAAAGCATTAATAGTTCGAAAAAAGCTGTTATAATATATTCCTCAAGCGTTAACATATATGCAAACCGTGCCCTATTTGTTTAATGTCAAAACTGAAATCGATTGGCATACTATTAATTGCAAACGTGAGCTTTAATCACCGTGCTATCATTTAAAGTACGCATCGCTCCTTATTTGTGATTGCTGCCACCATGATCACATTTTATTACAAACGTCACTTTTATGGGGAGCGCTGCAAAGCCTAGACTAGGCCGCAACCTTGGGGCTGCTGCGTGCAGCGTGCAGTAGTTACAGGTGTTACATTTTAAGGCTATAGTTAAGAGCCAGGATTATGCCAAAGGTTAAATTTAAAATGACAGAACTAACGACTGTATAACGTGTCTTTCTTTTAACAACGCGAGCATTTTTCGGGCAATCACTTTTGTTCCGCAGCGCTTTGGAACAAATCGCGCGGCTTCACTGTTACCGTCTCACCTGCGAGTGATGCTTGCTTGTCCCTCGCCCCCTCGTGGCCCAGGATGGTGCAGGCTACCGTGATCCCTCGTTCGCCCTTGTCCCGCCTGCCAGCGTGGCCGATGCTCTTGTCATCGTTGGAGATGGGCCAATCCACGGCCGCCTGTGCCAGCCCGCCGCCGCCCCCGACGCCGCCGCCGCAAAACTTGCGCTTGCCGCGGTGCTCCTTCTTGTAGCGGCAGCAGCAGCGGCAGACGTAGCAGCAGCGGCACCAGTGGTGCGCGAGGGCGACCAGCAGCGCCAGCAGTGCCACTACAGCCAGCACAGCCGCCAGGGCGAGGGCGGCGGCCACGAGCAGCAGCCTGCTCTGCTTGCCGTCTTCGTCGCCGTCGTCGTCGAAGCCCAACGGCCCACCGAGGCCGGACACGTTCTTGGAGAGCGGCGTGGCGAGGCTGCGCGTGATGAGGCGGTTGACGGCCGTCACGTCGTCCAGCGTTGCGTTGGCGAACACGTGCAGCAGCGCGACGGCCCGGTGCCGCGTGTCGCGGGCGCACAGCACCAGGCGGTGCAGACCCGCATGCTCGTCCGTCAGCGCCTCCCGCACCGTCACGAGGCCCGTGCGAGCGTCGATGGCGAAGAGGCCCCGTGGGTTCCCGCCATCGATCGAGTACTGCATCGGCGCCATCGGAGACTTGGCGGTGGACGTCGCCGACGACGACGATGCCGACTTGGTCTCATCCGCCGCCGCCACGACCGCGGCCGCCACGTCTTCGCGCCGAGGCACGGGCGGCAGGGAGTCTGGGTCGATGGCTGAGACGGGGTAGACGGTGGTGCCCGGCACGGCGCCCCCCGTCGTCTCGACGAACACGAACGTCGAGTTGGTCTTGGGTGCGAGGAACTCGGGGGCGTTGTCGTCCTCATCCACCACGTGGATGAAGACACGGGCCGAGGAGCTGAGGCGCGACGTGGGCGTCTGGTCGAGGTCGCGCGCGCGCACTTCCAGCGTGTAGAAGTGCTGCTTCTCGCGGTCGAAGGAGAACCCGGCCCGGATCACCCCCGTGTCAGGATCGATGCTAAACAACGGCTGCTGGGACGACGAGGAGGACAGCGAAGACAACGACGTCGATTCCCCGTCGTCGGCCGCGTGCCGGTTCGGATCCTGGTCCCAGACCTCCGCGCGATGCTTGGCGTCGTTCTTGTCGAACTCCTCCCCGTTTACGACGGTTATCGCATACTCCAGCTTCCCATTGTCACCCTCGTCGGGGTCCCACGCGGACACGCGGCCGATGATGTTGCCGGCCGGTTGATTCTCGCGGACGTAGAAGTGGAAATCAGGCAGCTCGAACTGCGGCGCGTTGTCGTTGCGGTCGAGGATGCGCACAATCACGGTGGCCGTCGCCGAGAGCGGCGGGACGCCCCGGTCCCTCGCGACAACGGCGAGAGCGTAGCCGCCGGGGGCGTCCTCCCGGTCGAGGCTCTGCGAGGCGGTCACCAGGCCCGTCGTGAGCTCAATGCGGAAGGCCGACAATGAGGGCCGTACGACGGTAGGGGGGCGCACGGTGCCGGCGGCGTCGGCGGCCCGGGAGGCGGTCGCGTCGCCGCCTCCGGCCGTGTCGGCCCCTCCGGCGCCCATCCTCAGGGCGATCACCCTTTCGATGGAATAGACGACGGCGCCGTTCTTGCCCACGTCAGCGTCCGTCGCCGTCACCGAGGCAACGCGCAAGCCCGGCGGGCCGTTCTCCGCGACGGCGGCCTCGTATACTAGGCGCGGGAACGCGGGCGGGTTGTCGTTGGCATCCGCGACGCGCACGAACACGACGGCCGTGCTGGAGAGGCGCGGCACGCCCGAGTCCTTGGCCACGACGCGCACGACGTGCCTCTCGCGCCGCTCCCTGTCCAGCCCCACGCCCGTCTCCAGCAGGTAGCGGTCGGGCGACGGCGGGAGGCGCCGGACCCGGAACGGCAGATCGGCGGCGGCGGCGCTGGCCTCATCCCCGTCGTCCTTGCCGGCGCTTTCCTCGTCGCCGTCGAGGGAGATGGACAGCGAGACGACACCGCCGCTGCCCGAGTCGCGGTCCGACACCGAGATGAGCGCGATGGGGAAGCCCGGAGGGGATGCTTCCGAGACGACGACCGTCGCCGCCGAAGCCGTTCCTCTCACCTCGCCGTCGCCGCCGTCGTCGTCGTCGTCCGCGTCCTCGGCCGTCACGGCGTCCCCCTCGGTGCGGGCGATGATGCGCAGCTCGATCTCGGGCGGCGTGTCGTTCTCGTCACCCACGATGATGGTGAGCGTGGCCGTGGCGCTCGCCGGTCGCGAAGGCGCACAGTCCGTCGCCACGATGACCAAGCGGTGGATGTCCGCCTCCTCGCGGTCCAGCAGGCCCCACACGACGACGAGGCCCGATGACGAATCCAGCCAGAACAGAGCCGTGTCCGGCCGTCGACGAGGCTTGACCGACGACGGCGGCGACGAGGAGGAGGAGGAGGAGGAGGACGAAGGCGTCAACGAGGACGATGATGCGAGAGACAACAGCGACGACGACATCGGAGGTATCGGCTGGGACGACGAGGAGGAGGACGACCAGGATGCGAGGCGGTACTGGACCTTTCCGTTCTCGCCCTCGTCGGGGTCGCTGGCCTGCACGCGCACCACCGGCGTCCCCACCGGCGAGTTCTCCGGGATCTCCACCGTCATCTGCGCAAGCCGAGAAAGCGATCCACGGTTAGTACCGAATACCCGCCGCGCTGCCAGCTGAAACGTCGCACGCGCATTGCCGCGTCAAGACAAACATTCCGAATGGTGACCATCCTGCTGGTCCTACTGTGACCATCCCGCATTCAGATTTTTGACCAATTCCCTTTCTACGGAGCCATTTTCACGTCAAGAGGAAATCACAATAAGATCAGAAAAAAATCAGAAATAAAGAAGACATGAATAGTCCCAATGTATTTATGGCCACAGGACTCAAAAATAAGAATGTCCAAGCTCCTTTGGACATTATCCCAGTGAAAGTAGTTCCTTTTGAAGGAAGAGTTCAAGTCTACTATGAAGGATCCTCACAAAATATTTGGCTGTGAATATGAGAAGTACAGAACTCTATACCAGACATGTTTTGGCTCAGCATCATGATATACTCCTGCACTGGTATAGAAGTAGCACCGAGTTTGGAGACATAACCCCATTTGGTGGAGAGTTTCATGGCACAACATGAAAGTATGCATGATGCACACATTTCGCTTCCAACGTGTGCGTGCGTGTGCCGCTACTTGTTTCCCGCAGCGTATGAATAAAATACAACGCGGTGATTTTTCGAGTCGCGTGCACAGTGAGGGCGTCTCTCTGCGTGTCTCCGAGATTTACAGAGAGACAGCGAGGTACACCCAGAGAGACACGCGATATACAGACAGAGAGACACCATTTTTTCCATTATTCTATTCTTTTCAAGAACCCAAAACAGACATCAGAGGGAAACGCAGGCCATGAGCGTGTAAGGGACCCGGAGCGTTACTCCCTCAAATGAGGGGCCGCTTGGAGGCACCTGGGGCTCGCCCCCCGACCGCAGTGCAAGGGGACGACGATCCACGGCAAAAGACAAAGGAAGTGGAAGGAGAGGGAAGAGAGGGGGGAGCGGGAGGTGGAATAATGCCACCAAACAAAACCGACAATAAAGTAACATGCGGGCGGTGCCCGAGTTTACTGTTCTTGTTTTCCCTGAGGAGCAACGGTCGTCGTGTGTTTGCAAGTGGTATCAAGAGTCCAAGTGTTTTTTTTTTAACAACTCCTGTAACATTAAAAACAAAGAGTCCGATTTTAGAAGTATAGAACCGCTAGCTCAAAAAAAATCTCCCAAATTTGACAAACTCCTTGATATGCTTTGTTCCTGAGAAGATTAGGAGCTGTTACCGCACTGTCTGTAAAAGCCGTCTGCCACACAACTGTCTTCCATTTCAATTCACTCAAAATACTCTCGTCATTGAATTCCCCCACCTGTGTTTCATGTTCGACTCAATATTTTCACCCAACGTGACGCACTGTGAGTGGCGATCAAAGAGTTGTCGGTGTAACAAATCCATTGATTAAAACGTATTCTCACCCCATGGATGTTATCACGTTTGCGTTTGGTTTAGTGGCGAGCATTAGTGTAGTGGTTAGCGTGCTGCGAATATTTTAACTGAGCCTTCTTCTAGGTTGACTTAGCCTTAAATTGGCACCCGGCATAGTGTGTAAACATCAGAACTGCGAAGACAGAGGCGGCCGGGCATAGTGTTGGTCACCCACCGCCTCGTGTGCCATGCTGGCCTCCATAGGTGCTCGCTAACAGCACTTCACCCAACAGTCTGTTGAGACTATACAGGGGATTGTTATCTTTGCTCTCGATGGTTTATGCAAATATTCACAACTCACAATGGTCTTAACATGTGACTAAATAGTTCCCTTCGAGGGAGAATTAACTCGGTCCATCAACGTGCTCGGGCATATAATTCATATCTTGTACATTGCAGTGCGGATGGAGTTTTTACATTTTTGCAATCTTAACCTATGTATGTGGTTAGTTACCGACACAAAGGATTACTGCAAAAATGTGAAAAATATTTCTAAAAATATCCTCCGAAGCCGCTAATTCTAAATGAACGGCTCTTGGCAGTTTAGCGACGCAGCCGTATTGTTACGTTCCGTCACCACGTATTGCCTTGGCTTAACCTTTCTCTTACAATACCCTCAATGCAGGCATGACAAGCCTTAGTCAAAGGTCCTTTGGCATTTGCGGAATTACACTTCCTTTAATCCGATCTAATAGCAGAGCCAACTGCATTTTGGATTTACGGACATTCTGAGAGATGTCAGCGTGGGTGCATTTCACGGAGCCAGGGCAACCCACCCCGCTCCCGTTGAGCACATCACCGTGAAACGCACAATTTTAAATATTGTGTAGAAAAATACGTGTTCGTAAAATAAATAAATAAATATCAATTGTGAATACTATTAACCAATCTGGTAACCCATGGGCTTAGCAACTATGTTAAGACAATTTTTTCTCGAATGTTGCTTGGTATATTTATTGCAAACAAAATGATACCAGCGCAATTTCGTTCTTACCGAGAACAGAAGACAACCCAGACAGATTACAGGTAATGTACATCGTATTTTGATTCAGAATAAAATGTTTCTTGGAACAATAACACCTAATCTAAACTCCTTAAAGCGTTTAAAAGTTTGTAGTGTTCAAGGAACGGTCTTTGTGGACATGAAGATGAAGACAGGAAATGTGAGGATGGACAAGACGGAGCACTGAATATGAACCGTTTCAAAACACATGCATTGGTGAACATCAACATGAAGGCCTATTGAAAAAGAGATTAAAATAAAACCAACATGAAGAATTTCTACTCGGTGGAGGAATTATACGTGCCAAAACAACTGCAGTATAACGGGCCAATGGAAGGAACAAATAAAAAGGCAAACAGAAGCCGATTGAGAGAGGGAAACACATTCCTGCAGAGGGAGCTGGTAGGAACGTTGGGTTGCTCGGTCAATGGCCAGGGTCAACGGCGGTGTGGTGTATTCCGAAAATATGGCCGACTGTGAGGGCGGGCACAAGCTGGCGTGAGTAGGTTAAACGTTGAGTTTTATAAGGGCACCACGGGGTGACTAACCCCTCCCCACCCAGCCCCACCCCTCCCACCCCCCACCCAGCCCCTCCTTCCCCACCCAGCCCCTCCCTGCACGACGGACACAATAATCCCCTGTTGGCTGGTGTAACCAGAAGATTCCTACCAGTTTTATTTCTCTATGAGGGTATTCCGCAAATATGGCCGACTGTGAGGGTGGGCACAAGCCGGCGTGAGTAGGTTAAACGTTGAGTTTTATAAGGGCACCACGGGGTGACCAGCCCCTCCCCACCCAGCCCCACCCCTCCCACCCCCCCACCCAGCCCCACCCCCCCACCCAGCCCCACCCTCCCCACCCAGTCCTTCCCCACCCACCCTTCCCCACCCAGCCCCTCCCCACTTTCCCCACCCAGCCCCTCCCCACCCTCCCCTCTCCACCCAGCCCCACCCCTCCCATTTTTGGATGCACGACGGATGGACACAATAATCCCTTGTGGGCTGGTCGAACATGGTGGTTCTTACCAGTAAAACGAGAGATTGAACACGTCCTGAGGTGGAGATCTAAACACCGCCGTTGTCTAATCATAGCCATCAGCACAACAAAACTGAGCACTCCGAGTGACTTGATTCCTTTGCAAAAGGAATCTTATTTGGCATTTGAACATCTTAACACCTGCTTTGTTGCCAGGAAGGGGAAAACCTATTCTTATTTTTCAAATCCGTCAAATCAGACTCGACGTCTCGCTCAAGACGGCCCTCGATGTACTCCCAGTCGATAAGTCATAGATCAACTCGCAATGCCGTACCTCATTTGCATAAGCCTACCGTCATTTTGCACGTTGACATTTTGAGAAGTCGGACAGGGGGGAGCTGATGCGTTCAGCAGACTGGCCAGTGACATTTGTACACCACTCCATGTGCCTCGGTTTGCACGAGCCTTCGATCTTTCTACAACAATTTGTCTTTACCGGAGTGACCGATGTTTCCATATTTTCATGAATGCTATGATATAATAATCCCGCGTATAATCTGAAAATATCGTCGGTCCATCGGCCTATTTGTCCGTCTATCTGTAGCTCGTAACGTGCAACCTACACTGCAGCGTGGTTATTTTCCACATCACTCTCTATTTTACCATTCAATAAAAAAAATTCAGTTAAAAAAATAAACGAATTGAGTTGCAAATCCTGCTAATTGGGGATGGGATTGTGTGGTAACTCTGTGATGAGCTGATATGCCATCAAGAAGACCATAGCCATTTCACCCAATGTCAGCCAATTACGGCTGTCGCACAGGAGTTCAAATGCACAGTTCAGCACTCGGCAGTGGTGACCTACTGTAAGTTCAAAGTTCAAGTTTGTTTTGGTGAGAATTCAAGAGGCCAGGATGAGTTTCATTTTGCGAGAGTGACCTGGGTCACAGAAATGACAAAAAGCAAAGCAAATAAATTAAAGAGCAGCAAACCCAAGTCGACTGAACAAAAACACTATCACATGAGGAATCGAAAATATATTGCAATCATAACTCAACGTTGTGAGGAAAGTGGAAGCTTTCCTGGATTTAATATTGAAAATATTCAGAAACTTACTTGGAAACGTATCACACACAATATGCACGTTATAGGTTTACAAAATAGTTTTATTTTTTAAACTATAATTATTTAGTTTAACACGTAGGCTGTGTCGGGTGGTGGCGGGTTTTAACGACACATTTATATATTTACGCGATCTAACCCAAAAAACCTCTTATGTATCATTATTTACTTCGTCAGGGTTGAGTTTGGAGCAAATTACATTGAGCAGATTTAACACTTGGCACTTGACAAGTCCCCACTTAAGGCAGAGGACAAAGAACCCCCGTATAGCCTGGACAGGTTGTTGGGGCAAGGGCTGTTATAGCGAACACCGATGAAGGTTCGCACGGCACACGAGGTTGTGGGTGGCCAAGACCAAGCCCGACCGCCTTTGTCTCCCCAGTGCCGATGTTTACACACTGCACCAGGTAACTGTCCTCCTATACCGCCGCGTGTTGCTTTCATGACGCGAATTGGATAGAACGTGATGATCGTATGAGGGAACACATTTT